TATTTGTGTAGGGGTAAACATCAGGGTATTTTAAATTCGTGTATGTCTACATAGACAATAAAGAGCTTCACCTAAAAGAAAAAGCAGAAAAATTTTACAACAGCGTGTAAATGTATAAAAGGTGAAACAAGCAGAGTTAAAGCCTCAGAATGCAAAAGTAGTGACTAAAATTGCAGAAGAAGATTGTCTGTGTGATGAAAAGAGCCACAGAGTAAAAAGCTTCACAAAGTGACACACATTCAGGCTGGAGCACCCTTATCCTTACTCACTTTCTCAAGAAAACAAAAGAAATTTTTGAAAAATTCTAGACCCAAACTCTTAAAAATCAGTCTATGCGTGGTAGTCAGTTTTCATTTCTTAACAGGTAAGGTGCCAAAGAAAATGCGTTATATCACTGTCTTTTTAAATATCCAACTATGCAGAAGTTTCTTTTTGAATACGAAGACGATATCTGCCAGAAATTTTTTTTTGAAGTTTTATTGCCAGTTCATCATAATATTAACGCACAAATAGAGTAGTTTAAAGTCTGATTCATTCATATTTAAGATTACGACAATCCTTTTCTAGTTCATATTGCAGTGGAATTAGCAAAACATACAGGTAGCTGCGCAGCTTTTGATCATAGCACCCAGAAATTCAATCTTGTCACAGTTTTCTGTTAACTCATCACAGTTTATAAGTCTATCATCGCAGGGTTCTTAAAGACCAAGTGTTATAATTCCACTATTCTTTTCAAATATTTTTTAAACTGTAAAAACAGTAAAACAACAAAGATAACAACTAATTATTGTCAAACTGGTGACAACGTAATGATTATCCTCATATTCTTAATTAAATCTCTCTACATTAAACTTATTTTGTGTTAACAGAGTAGAGACAACATTTACCGTTTGAGCAAAAATCACACGTCAACCTGCAGTATCGTTGCATCAATGCTTTACGCAACGAATCAGTGCAGTAATGTTTCATGCTCGCACAGTTATCAGCAATATCTTTGCAACCTGAAGAAGAATAAAAAATATTTGATAATTCAGGTATGATACAGTAATAAAAGTTTAAACAAATCCACTTTTGCTAACCAGAAACTGACTTAGATTAAAATGCGCTAAAAGTGAAAGGCCAAGATAAATAATATTAATTACCTTTTGGATTAGAACAATAACCGCAAGTATCTCGACACTCTGTTAGCATCATTCCTCTATACTTTGGTTCATCGCAGTAATTTCTCCTTTTGTAGCAGTCTGTTGCAGTATCAGCACAAGCTGAAAAGAAAGCAAATTAAACATTTCTGTCTACAGGTTATTATCATGCTGTTTTATCACCTTTATTAAAGCTAGCTTTGTCAACTCTAGAAAGGAACGAAGTAATCGCTGACACTTTCAAAGTTATAAGCGAAATTCACCTACCGCTTTTCCTCATTGGAATGCATTGACCGTTTACACAAATGTGATCATCCTCACAGCTCTTAGATTGCCCGCAAAAACAGCCATCTAAAATTGGCATTACACCGTGAAATTGATCGTCCAGTACCAATTTCATGTCATTTTAAAACGGTTCATAAAAATTTTTTTAGCTTTTATGTTTTCATAATTAAAAATTACAAGTTTCGCTTGAAGTCGATCAATTTAGCTTTGCTTCTAGCGCAGTCAAGAATGCCTGGTTAACACGTTGTAAAAGATGTCACGCAGCAAAATTTGTCTTTTATTAGTTCTTTCCGCAACACACTTAAAATCTTCAAAGCAGTTCGAACAAGCGTTTTATTCATTTCAGAATTTTTTTATTTAAATCAAAAGATTTTAGTTTGTCAAATACAGTACTTTATCTTAAACCACTACATTCTTAACATTCACTTTCTACTTGTTCCAATGCTATTTCACTTTACTTTCAAATTGTTAAACAAAGCTCTGAAAAAACTCTGCTTGTTCTTTGCTGCAAAAGTAACTGTTGCCAACAATACCGGCATTAAAGATACATTTTAAAAGCAGGAGAAACAGAGCTATTTAAGGTAGAACAAAGTGAGCCTACTCGAATATTTTATAGTAGCATCTTGAAAGGTCAATTAATAAAAAAAATTTGTGTATATAACACCAAAATTTGTTTTTCTAAAACTGAAGCGCCTGTAGACTTATGTTAATTAAAAGTACGCTAACAATTAGTGCTGCAACCACAGCAGAGCCCAACCAGCGTCAAGAAAACTCTAAATATGTTTGCAAATATGGCAGAAAACTTAAGGTGAAAGTAAGTAGTGTGAAACTAAAGTAAAGTAAATATTTTTTTTTCAAAACTGCACGCTTAAAAAAATGTAAAAACTTGAGAGAAGAACAAAAGCTGGAAGTGTAGATTAGGCAAAGGTTAGGACAGTTTAAGAAATTTGCTTACCTCGTTTTAAAGCCAAGTAGAACAAATTTAAATACTTCAGTTTTCGATTCACTAAGCAAAAACGTTACCAGTCAACAGTCTTCTTATAAACTTATTCTATTGAACTTGGAAATGAGGAAATGTCGAACTTTACCAAAGCAAGCAATCCTTCAGAGGTTTTTTAACGTAATACGTGCTGTGTCCTCCTCGCCTTACCTTTCTTGCAAACTTCGCCAGTTCTGCATGGTCTCAGAGCGTGCAGACAGACACACCTGTTACCGAGACAGTCCTCTCCGGGATTGCACAATACTGTTTTGTCGCTTCGACACACACATCCGGCTCCGTCTTGACATACAGTCGATTTAAGTTCACAATCCTGCTGAAAAAATCCTTCCAGAGTGCGGCATGCACAGGTTCCATTATAGCAAACATATCCTTCAGAACATTCGTCGTCTTTTGTACAGCCCGCTGAAAAAGCAGTTACTGATGTAGAAAGTCTTAAACAGTGTTTTTCAACTATAATTTTTCAACTATATCTTTTCTACAAGAAGAAATTAAATTATTTGTGAGTCAGAGATTGGAAAGAATTTGTCAAAGAAAACTCCTAATTTTGCTTACTTGCTACTGCAACAAAAGAGTGAATCAAGAGCAGAAGATATATGAAATATGCCATGATTGATTCTGCACTGTTAAATTTTGTTCCACATAATCCCGGCTTTTATATGTAGACAACTTAACG